CTCCCCTCTTGGTTTCAAACCCTTCCCAGAAGATCTCCGTTTAATTCCCGTCATTTTAGTTTTTTCATGTCTCCTCAAAGCAGTTTTGGGCTCCAATCTACTTCAATAGGCTACAGAATCACGTAGAATAAGGGTGGGGTGGAAAGACACAGTTAAGCAAACAGGAGAAGGATGTGGTGAGGGGACCAGGAGAGAGAGGATGGTGGGGGGAAGGGAAAGAGAAGGGGGAAAGGGGGAGGAGGAAGGAGAGGAAGGGGAGCAAAGAGGGGGAAGTTCCCGGACCCAGTTCCCAGCCCTTCAGCTGGAGCCAGACACTGCCCTTCTCCCAGAGGGGGTCCCTTCTCTCCCCTCCCCTCTCTACTCCACCCCTGTCTGTTTTCCTTCTGAACTGAAACCAGTTCCTTCGGGCCTGATCTCTCTTGCCCGGGACAATTATATCAGCCTGGACCTTCTTTCCTGATCCTCCTACGTGAAGAAAGCAGCTGAAAGGACTGAGGAGCCTCAGCTGGGCCCTACACCGCTCTTAGCAAGAACAGAGACTGGGGACTAGTTTGGAATATAGTTATTTAACTATAGGTGCAACCGTTTGGACATAGCTTATTTAAAAATAAAATATGAGCATCAACACAGCCTTTTCAGGACCCCACGCTGCAGTACCATGGAATTAGAGACCTGGATTGCCATCTTCCTGCATTCCTCACAACTGTCATGTTTGGGACCGCAGTGGGGAGTGGCCCCTGAGTCTCCCCACCGCACTGTCACCCCTGCTCCGAACCCAGGGCCTTGCACAGAACTTGGCTACTACAGAAAAAGTCAAATAAAAACTGCACTTGCGTGTGCTATAAAACCATTGCTCCTTTGATTCCTCGGTGTCCCACATATAAAGAGGAATTAATTCCAAGTTTATTGTGAGGAAAGCTTTGTGTGTGGCCTTCAACAAGATCACTGGCCTCTCAGGCCCCTTCTGTGAACAATAGGAATGATGATGTCCACCTTATGTGGCTGTTCTGAGGATAAGAAACAGTGCATTTCAGTCACAAAACAACATGGGCACCCAGTGGGCACTCAATGGGGCTGGTAGCCATCAGTCACTGTAGGTGTTCTGCTTCCCTCTTTTGTTTTTGGCTGGCGCTGCCTGAAACTCCAGAGGAATTTGAAGTTCAGTCACAGCAGCTGTGATCATCATTTTGGTTAGCATAGTTGCTTCTCTTCCTACTTCCTACTGTTCTCTATTTTTAAATCCCTGCGTATGGACATGTGCTTTGTGAATGTTATCATTCTCACCCTCGGCCAGTCATTTCAACTACTCCATCTCCGTGAGGACGGCAAAGGTCTCCCATTTTCTCACATAAAGCAAAAGGCAAGAATGACAAACCAGCACACAAACAAAACCCTGCAACACCCACGATGCTCTCGGTGAGAACCTGCACTTGCTGAGTGCTCGGGGGTCTCTGGGCCACCCCTGGGCCAGGGGCAGTGCTGCCTCATCTCCTTTCTTCCCGAAACAACCCTTTGCAGGTGACCTGGGCTTCCACTTTCCCTTGGTGCTTAGCCTCTGGGGGGGGGGGGGGGGGGTGGGGTCTTTCCTTTTGTGCCAGCTCAGCAATGCATTTAAAACAGGGTTTTAGTATTTGATCCAACATCATAGTTGTTCTATTTGGGAAGGGCCTTCAGGGAGCCTGGTCTACCATCCAGCCTGAAATGGAGATGGCTTTCCGGTACCTCTCCCACAAATCACTCCTCTGTTTCAATTACCCAGAATTGGTTTTCTCTGCTTGTAAGTAAGAAACCTGGCTGATGGAGGGGAGGCCCTTCTTCAAGACCCTTGGGGCTTCCCTCTCCTTCTGGTGACCCTGGGAAGGAGGTGAGGGCAGGATTTGCCCATAGGGCCAGGATTTGGGGTACTTATACCCCCTCTACCCAGCCTCTGCTAGGATTTCAGAAAACAATATTTCAAAAACATTTCAGGCGGTAACTTTACTTGATCAAGAAAGACGTGAAAAACGATTATCTACAGTTTCCATAATTTCATTTGAAAGGAAATGTTTAGCCCACATAAAAGACATCATCTCAGAATAAGAATAATTGAGCAATGTTAGCTTTAGGACAAGCTCGATCTCTGGCCTTTGATTTCACTTTAGACCAATGACATCTTCATCCTGGGCCTTCAGATCAGGCTTTCGAAGTGCCGGCCTCATTATGTGGGAGGGCACAGGGCCCACCCCTCCCCTGCCCTATGGCGGGGACAGAGCCTGGTTGCCTGCAGCTGATGATACTGGCAGTGTGTGCCCAGGGCCTCCCTCATCCCAGACTCTCCACCCCTGGGTGCTGGGTGGAGGGCAGGGGAGGAGGACCCAGTGGTTAAACAGCACTAGATCCAAACATATGTCTCTACTGGAGGCAGGGGAAGCCATGGGCTCAGCCCCACCCACAGAGAACACAGGTTCCCTCAAAACCCCCTGCTGCTCCTGGGAGGGTCCCCTGCTCACATTCCCTCCATCCAGTCCTGAGAGTCAGGGAAAGGGCTTGCTGAGCCCGGGCAGAGGGGGTACAAGTGCCCCAAACCCAGGCCCCATCGGCAAGTCCTGTTCTCACTTCCTTACTTACTGCCTGTGTGGCCAACCGAGGCAGAGGTCATGACCTATCTGGCCATCAGCAACCTAGTAGGACAGAGGAGTTGAGAGGACCAGATGACCTCTGCAGCCCCTCAACAACACCCTTAAGGGATCCTCCCCTTGGGCCCGTGGCCTGGCACCCCCAGCCCTACCCCCTGCTCTGGGCATGGAGAGCTTGACTCTTCCTGAGGTGACCAGCCTGAGGGGCGCTGGCTCAGACCGTGAAGCCCAGGGCCATTCTGCCTTCAGAATAATCCCTGTGGGAACCTCTTGCCATACAGAGGGGAGGAAAGTCTGTACAGAGGCCTCTGAGCTTCTAACCACAGGTTTTCCTACCAGGGTTTTGGCTCTAATCACCAACAGGGAAAACAGCTCATCATCCAAAAGAATGAACACTCAGAGGAGGCCCTGCTGAGAAGCAGGCTCTCCCAGCCGTGTTGAGCGGCTTCCCGTTTTGTTTCTGTGTGATCGGGAAGGGGCACCACAGAAGAACAGAACTCAAACAAACAAAATCTTTCTGTCTTACTAGGTGCTAACCAGAACTGAAATCCAGATTTATGTCTGCAGGTGGTGGCGGGAAGCTGCTGGCTCTGCCTCTCCCACAGAGAGCATAGATTCCATTCAAAAACACGCGCAGCTGTTCCTGTGAGTTTTGGCCACGTCATCAAAACACTCAACCTGGCACCTGAGGACTTCTCTGTTCGGGGGAATACCTCACAGAGAGGCAGCGCTTTGTGATTTGGAAAAAATGCAGCCTGCACAGGGCTTTCTCTATTGTACACCTGAAGAGCCAAACCTTACCAAGTTTCCATAACCTGCCCAAGGTCACCGAGCAGGGGAGCTAGGGCTCCGACCCAAGTCTTCAAGTCTCAAGCTTACTGTTTTTTTTCCCACATGACCCATGCATTTACTTACTCATTGGTTTATTCATTCATTCAATCAACAGTTTCAAGGGCTTAGCATGTCGGTTTACAGTCCAGTGGAAAAGACAGACACATAAATGACAGTGACAACGCAGTTTTGTGCTAAATGCCTGCAACGCCAGAAGGAAAAACCCTGGCAGTTTTGTTGTCATGTAGTGCAAGGGAGATGTGTGTCAGTGAGCCGTGAGAATACAGGGAGATGGTGCAAAAGGAGGGGTGTGTGCAAGCAGCCCCGTGCACTGAGAGATGGGCACCAACTACACAGGGAGGGGGGCTTCACGGAGGAGGTGATATGGAGTCAAGAAAAAAAAAAAAAGAGTGCTCATCAAGACAGGGCAGCCAAGATGGAAGACCTAAAAACCACAGGAGAAAGGGGCAAGCAGAGATGGCGGTCACCGGCTCTGAGCACAGGACTGGCTCAGGGCTGACAAATTCAGAGTGGTTGCAGGAGCCAGTGTGAGGCCAGGCATATTTTTAAGTTTTAAAAGAACATTTTTTAACTGAAGTGTAACATACACACAGAAAAGGACACAAAACTTCACTGGGCCGCTCAGTGAATGTTCACAAGGTGAACGGACCTGCATAACACACGCAGCTCCTGAGAAGGAGCCCAACATGGCAGAACAGACCTCCAGCGCTCAGGAGCCCCGGCGTGGCCCTCACCAGTCATGACCTCCCATCGAGTAACCACGATTCTGATTTCTGACAGCACATATCAGTTTCACCAGTCTTTGTACTTTACATAACACGGAACACGTACTCTCTTGCGCTGGTATTTTTAAATCAACATCTATGTTTGATTACTGGGCACAAAGCTGCCAAGAGCATTCTTTTCCATGTCTTGCTGATGGATGGAAGCAGGGGTTTCCCTTGGATCTTTATCTAAACATGAGACCGTGGGGTCACACACAGGCAAGGAATATTCTTAGCTTTACTACCAAATTTGAATTTGTCACATTTTTCTAAGCAGAGATAGGGAGCTAGAGGCAGGGAACTGTATTCATTAAGGATGCTGTGATTTGATCTCAAGCACCAAAAAATACAGCTTTGATCAACTTGGGTCACTAGGGTGACCCAATCACTAGGGTCATCAGAAAGGAGGTGACATGGTGGGACCGGGATGGGTCCAGGAGGTCCCCAGGGGTCGAGTCCCAGTAAAAAAAAAAAAAAAGTCACATGACAGGTAGAGGAGGAAAAGTTACCCCCGGAAGATCCACAGCAGATAAACAGGGAAAGGGATGTCAAACAGACGAAACGAAACACGCCCTAGACCGTGGAAGGTGACGGCCACCTGCCGAGCGAGCTCTACTGAAGCTTGACTTATGCTGTAAACAACACAATGCAGATACTTTTATCCCCATTTTAACTGACGAGAGGACTAAAAAGTCACTTCCAGAGGAGCCCAGCAACGGGACCCTGCCCTCCAGCGGCCTGAAAGGCCCAGAATATGAGAAGCTCTTACCTCAAATCATCTGTCAGCTCCGCTTCTCCCGACGGGATGAAGGTGGGTAGGGAGCAGAAATTTAAACACTTAAATACCCCTTCTTTTGTAGCCTTGGGCGTTGCTATCATCGGTGAGTCCCTGAACCTTGACGGGAAAGGCCCGCGGCTACGACCGGGTCCCGTAGTTTGGCCGTAAACCTCTTTGCCGCAAATATTTTTCGCTGCATAATTAATTGGCCGTAAGGCAATTTTGTCGTAAAAGTTAAACTAACTGACCTTTTGGTTTGACACGTATAATACAAAAATCACGACAGATGATGATGATTTGCCCCAAGAGTTGCATTTCTTATTTTGAAACACATTACATTGGAGGAGAAAGAGGCCGAGGGCCTGGAAAGTGCAGAGTTGGACCCACATCTCCCATAGAACTCTGGAATTTCTATCAGCGGACGTGCGACACGTGACAATAGGGCAGCGCACACAGCAGTGTAGAAGGCTTTCACTACCCAGTACAAAGCTCAGTGACAAATAGCATCCTAGTATTTAGAAACTGATGGCTGATACATCTTTTAATGAAGGAAGACACTTTATGGGGACTTCCCTGGTGGTGCAGTGGTTGAGAAGCCGCCTGCCGATGCCGGGACACGGGTTCGAGCCCTGGTCCGGGAAGATCCCACATGCCGCGGAGCAACTAAGCCCGTGCACCACATCTACTGATCCTGTGCTCTAGAGCCCGCGAGCCACAGCTGCTGAGCCCACGCACCACAACTACTGAAGCCTGTGCGCCTAGAGTCTGTGCTCCACAGCGGAGCGGCAGGGGGGCCCACTGCAGTGAGAGGTCCGCACACTGCGGCTAAGAGTGGCCTCCACTCGTGGCTACTAGAGAAGGCCCGCGTGCAGCAACGAAGACCCAACACAGCCAAAAATAAATAAATAAAATAAATTTTTATATAAAAAAGACACTTTGTGGAAAAAGTGCAATGCTGAAGGAGATAAATCAAAAAGCAAAAAAAAAAAAAAAAAAGTGTAAAATACTATGAATGTCAGACTTGGGAGACAAGTGTTTAGGTAAAACCTCCTAAGTAAAATCAGTTATTTGAGCAGTATTGCCATGAATCTATGCACATTTTAAATGTATTCAACTATTTGTATTTTGCAATAAAGTTCTCTTAATTTTGTTACTCATTGTTCATGATGTCCTTTTTAATGTCCCTCTTATATTTTTAGTTATTTTATCTTTTACAGCAAAATTGCCTTATGGGCAGTTAGTTATGTGGCAAAAATGTTTGGGGCAAAGATGCTTACAGCAAAGAAACTTACGGCAAAAATACCTAGAACTGGCTGTGACAGTAACTGGAGAATGGAGCTCTCTGGAAGGACCACAGTGCAGGGCGGGAGAGGCAACCTGCGGCTTTGGGTGTCAGGGCAGTGGGAAGAGGGAGGACCCCTGAATATTCCTGCCAAATTTGCCCAGGGGTCTGGGCTTCATCTATACATTTGTTAAAGCTACATTTACTGACAATCTACTCTGAATCCAACACTGCCCTAAGGATCCAAGATAAAAGAGTTCACAGTCAAGAAGTTCACAGTCACAAGGCAGGAGAGGCTAGTAAGCTATGACAATACACTGCTCTGCAGTGATAGGGACATGCCAGGTATGAGGAAGTTAACCCAGGGGTCAGGAGGGAACACTTGAGCTGCGACTATGACAATAAGTAGAAGTGTGATGATGTTGTAATTTACTTTAAAATACCCAGTATAGGCAATGTGATAGTACGTATTAATGTTCTCTGCACGCTAGGGGCCAGTTTCCCTGATCAGAAATTTACACTCCAGATCATTTAAATAGTAGAGTCTCAACATAAAGTCAAGGGCCAGAGCTCCAGCTTCCTTATCCCAAAGGAGACCAGAAGCTTTATTAGTTAGGATAGTGAATGTTAAGACTGACTTTTCAGTGGGGAAATTACTGACTCCTTAACTAGCATCACTGATGAAATTAATGGTATTTCATAGATGTGAATTCAATCTACACTGGCCACAGTATTTTGGAGACTTTTCCTACTGCTCCATAGCCAGGGTATAAGAATCGACCGAGGTCTTTAGCCTGTACTCTTGGGGTGGTACCCAAGGCTTGATTCCTAAATGATTGGGTTGGAGGAGTCTGGTTGCCAATGGCATTACAAGACTAATGGGATCCTGCTTCCAGATGACCAGTGCATCTGCTTCCAGTGTATCTTCCATGTACAATGATTGTCAGATCACCGAAAAAGGCGCTGGACTTCCCAAGCTCACAGAAGACTTCTGTGAATGGTCTCACGCTTGCTTGCTTGCTTGCTAAAACGTGTTTGCTGAAGATGTGTTTCCACAATGTGGCAGAAATTGATCCTGAAAATTGTTTTCATTATAACATAGTGAAGATGTGGGGTTTGGGGACTACCTTCACCTGCCAAAAAGCCTGCGAATGAGCAAATTGGTTTAGGTCAATTTGCAGCAAGGAGTGCCACCAGGTGGTGCAGATAAAGAGGAGTCCTCTGGGCAGGGGACACACTAAGAACCAAGGCACAGGGTAGATCTCAGCCACTGGTAGTACGTGGGTTTGCCTGAGGTGCAGGGTGTCAAAGGGCGGGGTAGATGAGACTGTTTCCCTCCTGGAGGATTTCTGTGCTCTCCTGAGTCTGGGCTTCATCCCTTACATTAATGTTGTCAACAATGTGCCCAGGGGTGGCCCACATCAGAATCACCTGGGTGGGTGGGGCCCGAGATTCTGCTCATAGAAATAAGCTCCCCAGGTGATTTTTCACCCACCAGAGTTTAGGAGCACAGGAAGCCATGGCAGGGTGCTGGGCAGTGGGATGACTGGGCTGGTGGTGTATTCAGACCCTCAGGCAGCAGTCTCATGGAGTACGGTGGGAGGGTTCTGATGTGAGGCCCAGATTCTGGTCAAGAGGTCTTGGTGACAGTCCAGGCAATGGTTCTGGAAGTGGGGCAGTCGGTTTAAAGAGGCCTTGAGGTAATGACCAGCCTGAGGAGTGATGGACGGGCTGTGAGAAGGGCTGGGTTGAGGGAGCCAGCCGGGCTGAGGATGACTGACAGACGTCTGGTTTGGGGCCAGGATGGAGAGTGACAGTAGCAAGGCTTTCTCAGGCTACTATATGGTTGTGTCGTTTTTGCCCCGAGAATGCAGATGGAAGCTTACCTGTGGTTCTGTTGCTCCCTGGGCCTGTCCGGAGCCCCCTCAGCGCGGCTCCTGTTACCTGCCTGCTCTGGTCAGCAGCTCCTCCACTCCCACCTGCGTCGTGCCTGGTCAACGATAAATTCTAGAAAGCGTAGTTCAAATGAAAATAGCACAATTTGCTAACCTTCATGTAATGGGCTGTTACACCCTTCACCTGCATTTAGTTTCTTTTAAATGAAACAAAAATAACCCCAAAAGTGGACTGTGCAGAAGAAATAACAAGAGCTGTTTCCCTCTGGTCACTGGTGCCCCAAATCCCTGCCAGATGGTCAAGCAGAGAAGCTCATGTTTCAGCAAATTACAGAACCTCATTAGGACTCTATTTCATGTTCTTAGATGCTCTAGGCCTTTATATGAGGTGACGTTGATTTCTTAAACTTGTATGACAACATAATGAATGCACATAAGTGAAGTGTCCAATGAAATGTGAAAAAATCGGTGAATTCTTTGCATATTTTATTTGTCTTTTTTTGATTTCCAACTCACACACATCTGGCATATTTTACATCTTTGCAATAAAACATGGTTACAATAGCTTAAGGAATTTATATATCCAAAATATTTCACCATGATCTCAAGATGAAATGAACTTGTCTTCCAGATGTTCATTATCCTCCCAATTCTAAGCTACAAACTCAAGATATTGCTTACAGCCTGGTGATGAATAAATTAATCATTACGCCGATTCCCCAGAATTTCAGAATCTCATAAATACAAACAACAATGAAGAAGGAATTCAGTGCTAAAACTTACTAGTACAAGGTGGATAACAAATAAGTAATCACATCAATAAATAATGATATGTTTCTGGTGCAAAGTGCCAATACAAAGAACCCATTATCTTGTTTTTATCTTTTTAAATAAATGACTGCAAGTGAGTGTAAATTCTGAGAAAATTACATTCCTGTAACATGCCTCATAGCCCTACCGACACAATATGTACATATCTATGACGATACAGTCACCAAATATACAAAGAAGAAACATGAATAAAGTGTATATACCCCTGGGTGTATAACTTGATCAGTACAATGTATGGAAAATCATTTGATAGCCATCATTGTATATCATAAAAGATGAAGTGCCTTAGGCTAAGAATGTGGCTTTAGGTGAAAATTTCACAAGAACCTAAAAGAATAACGCCAGTTATTGTTATAATAAAGTCTGACTTATTATTAAAGAAACTAAGCTATTCAAGAACCAAAGAGAGAGAGAGGGTGGGGGGGGAAAAAAAACAGCAAAAAAGTTAGCATCAGATTCTCCTCCCCTAATGTACACACGCTAAGCCAGCAGGATGATTCTGGAAGAGTTGTCCAGGAGTTGGGAAGTCATTACTATGGAACTAAATGGTCGGGACTCCTATTTATACAATAAAACCAGGACCTCATCCCTAAGCCCCCTTTCTGCTGTGTCTTCAAATTATGAAGGTTACGGCTGAATTTTCTTTGTATCAAGTACCAAAATGGCAAATAATGGCTTAGTATTCAAATGCTTTATGAGCAAATTTCACTTAGAAGGGATGAATTTAGATTTAAAAGTGCAAAACTATGTATTTTGGTGAAAATGTCAAAAATTACTGATTGAGCCCAAATTCAGTCCTTTCATACAAGCTGTGTCCTTGCACAGATCGTACTATTTCCTAGTGTCAATGCACCTGTCCCATCAAGACTTCAGGATTAAAGAACATGCAAGTTGTAACTCCACAATAAAATTAAGAAATGTTTTGTTCTTTATACAAGGTTTTACTTTTACAAAAGTATCCCTTTAAATAAGATGCATCTGATGTACAAAGTATCAAACGTGTTTTTTTTTTTTTTTTTCTCAGCTTGAAAAGAGGCTGGAAATGGGATGCAGGTTAGGTTCAAAGCTTAAACTTTGTAACAACTGGACACAAGGTTCCTCAGAATTGTCAAAAGTCTCTTGTGAC